ACACACCAAAACCAATCAAGCACTCCGTATCTAGGGCAAGACTAGCATGTCTTCCTTCAAAAGTGTTTAAAAAAATATCAGACTGAAAGGCTGTCCCCTTTCCTAGTGTTTCCTCCATGATTCCCACTGATTAATTCTGTATTTCCTACACCAAAAATCCAGTCACTGCAATATATTTAAAATAACCATTAAGAATGTATTGTAATTTTGAGTCATACAGATTATCAACCCACCTTCAACCCCTCCCCCCTTCCTTTTCATGACTTCTTGGTCCAACTTCCTGGTTTTCTATCTCCAAAGTATTTCATTTTTTGCAGCATGTATACTGTTAATAGATTTAAATGCTTTCAGTTAAATTAGGGAAGCAGGGAAGGAGATGGCTCAGCAGTTAAAGGCATTTTGCTATTTATTCTTCCAGATGACCAATCAGACATGTCACAACTGCCTGGAATTTCAGCTCCAGGGGATCTAATTCTCTTCTGGCTTCAGTGGGCCACACATATGCACGCACACACACACAGAGACAGACAGACAGACAGAAATAAAATGGATTTTTAAGTAAACATGGGAAGCAAAGTAGTACTTTCAAGAATTTTTGGACTAAGTTTGTTGGTCTCTTCTGAGCCTATAAATAGAAAGTACCACGAACTGAAGAGTATTCTTATCTTTTCAATTTCTCCTCTACTTAGGTGCTCTTATATTATTTGGAGCTATTGCATTGAATTTGGTGCCTTCCAGCATGCTCTTAAGGCCCATCCGCACCGAAACAGAGAACAATTCTGGTATCAAAAACAAAGGTAGCAGTTTGTCTGCAACTGGATCCGAGGCATCACACCGGACAGAAACATACTGCAGTGAGACACAAGAGTCCTGTATCCAAGGCATCTCTGTGAAGAAATCTGAACAACCGACTAAAAATTTAACTGTCTTAGAACATCAAAGTGAAGAGTTTGGCAATGGACCTCACAGGAACAGACTGTCACTTATGAGCAATGACAAAAGTTACCAAAAAAAGTTCGTTTCATGGAAATGCAAACAAAATCTTTTAGATATTTCTCTCTTTAGGAATCCTTTCTTCTATATATTTACCTGGTCTTTTCTCCTCAGTCAATTAGCCTATTTCGTTCCTACTTTTCACCTAGTAGCCAGAGCCAAAACTCTTGGAATTGACATAAAGGATGCCTCCTACCTTGTATCTGTAGCTGGTAAGAAAACCTATTTCAAGCCTCCTACCTAGAAGGAAAAATAAACTTAGCTTGGTAAAATTTTATTTTAAAACTGAAGCAAGGAGAGAATGGAGGGAAATAGCAAGAGCAATCATGAGTGGGCTGTGGAAAGCTAGGGAAGCAAGTCCTCTGCGGCTAAGCAGAATACCTTGCATTTCCGCACACAGATCTGTAAACTGCGATCGGGGATCTGAGTGGGCCTAACTCACCTTACTCATTTTCAGGTCTAACACAGTAGATACCAATTACTTCTTGGGCAGAAAATTTCAGAAAGCTGGTGCTGTCAACAACTAGTCTGGGAAGAAGGAAATCTCAGCTAGAAAACAGTGTGGTAACTGGAAGATGGATTCTGAAGTTTAACTTCCCAGGTCAGGGTCTTGCCTGGATCTCCTTGCTGTGTGTGACCTTGGGCAAGACGGTCTCCTCTGTGCCAGGAGACCCAGGGTTTCCTTTCTTATCTATAAGTCAGGGATAAGGCACTGCTTTCTTTCACAGCTGTATTAGGGATGTAATAAGTGCAATTCAGTGTAGTACCAGGCCCACACTATTGGTATTTGATGTTAAGTAATTTCTTTTTGAAATAATTGTGAGATAAATATGACCATTGAATTAGTCACTAATCCACAGGTTCATACTTAAGGTAAATTAGAACAATATATTTTAATGAATTACAAAATGTAAGATTAAATGCTTAGGTTGTAGATTCTCACCTAACAAAACAAGGAGTCTGAAACAAATGAAAAGGGGTAAGAGCGAATCTTGGTTTGCTCTAACCCAGCAATTCTCAGTAGTTCAACTTAACTTTTTGACAGGTTTCTTACTAGCCAAGGCCTTACAAAGCTGGACACCTAGTTTCAATGTGCTTCAGTCAAAACTGCTGTTACACTGTGCAGAGTAGGCTGGCCTTGAATTTACAGAGCTGCCCTACCTCCCCATGCTACCACACCTGGCTTCATGCTGCTCTTTTGGTATTTTAACTGCTATGTCCTGTAACAGGATAAATGGTAAGAATGCTGAATGAAAAAACTGTGGTTCTGAGTCATTGCTCATTACACCTTACCACCTATGTCCCAAATGACAGTTTTAGACTTCTTACATATTTTCAAACTACAATAACCTTTGGAAGTCTTAAATTCCAAAGCTTCATAAACAAATATAAGTTCCAGTGTCTCTTAATGTAAGATTTTAATTTCTCCCATGTTTTACCATGACTCCTCATGACACATAAGTTTCATATCCTCACTTGCAGGTTCTTTTAAAAAGCTGTAAGATCTCTTCAGCTCATGTCTTTTTGTTTTTTAAAGCAGGGATTCCACACAAAATGAGAAAACACATGGGAATTTGATGGTTTCATGTTCTGCTGGAGGCAGCATTTTGTTATTTTATTAAATGTGTTTAGAAGAGGAAGTAACTTATATATCTATTTCAATATGAAATCATTTTTCCTTCATGTATTCTGGCCTCAAAACAGAGTGCTACTACTTAGAGAAAGATGTGCTTATACACTGACATTTTTACAAAGGGTGTGAGGAAACAAAGATTGCCTGACTTTGTATTTACTGTTCCAGGTATCACTGAGACAGTCAGTCAGCTTATTTCTGGATGGATTGCTGATCAAAACTGGATCAAGAAGTATCAATACCATAAGTCTTACCTCATTCTATGTGGTATAACTAACCTGCTTGCTCCTTTAGCCACCACATTCCCACTCCTTATGGCCTATACCATCTTTTTTGCCATTTTTGCTGGTGGCTACCTAGCACTGATACTCCCAGTACTGGTGAGTAGACTCATTCACTGATGTTAAACCACTCAATACAAGGCTCAGTAACAGTTTTCCCAAAAGAGAATTCAAATTTTATATTATTTTTATGATTAAAAAGTTACATGAATCCAGACGTTGGTGACATCTTTAATCCCAGCACTCGGGAGGCAGAGGCAGGCGGATCTCTGGGAGTTCCAGGTCAGCTTGGTCTACAAGAGCTAGTGCCAGGACAGGCTCCAAAGTTACAGAGAAATCCTGCCTCGGAAAACAAAATAAAAATTACACGAGACCTCAGAAACTATAGCTAGCTATATCCTGTCATTATTTATCTTACCACGTGAGGAAAAGCAGCTGCGGATTAGCTGCATAGAACTGGAAAAGGAACAGAAAGATTCCAATGGTCTTCTGTTCACTCCTCCCCTCCAGGCTCCAGGGATGTCTGATTCTTACTAGAACACAAGCATGGAAGTCTAACAAATCTGGCTTCTGTGTTAAGGACATTGTTTTGACAAGTTCTTCATTTTTATTGTAAACCGACTTAAATCCTGAATTCAAATGGAACTGAACTATTTTTTAAAATTTTATAGAGTATGAGGCTTAGGCAAAATTCCAGCTTCCAAAGGCTGAAATCAGCTCGTTGTGTTACTAAATTTCTTATAAACCTATGGCTGGTAGTCAGTCGTATGTAGATCCAATTATTACTGTAAGTGCAGACTGCCAAAATACTATTTCCTAATGGGAAAATCACTACGGTTTGGGAGGTAAATATTCTCCTGAACTACATAAATCAAACACCAACGTACCTTACTAATAAACTGAAAACACTACTTTGCCTAGCCAAAGTGCTGTTCCCTAGTTGACTTTTGTTCCCTTTCCTAACACTGGGAGCAAAAAGTTATCCAAATCATCCCAGGAATCAAACCATTTAGTTTAAGATTAAAAAAAAAAAATGTTGTCACCCCTTTGTAAACAAACATAAGACACTGGAGATGTTCATCATTAAAATGACTAACACTGAATTCTAATTGCAGGTCGATCTGTCTAAGAATTCTAGAGTGCACAAGTTTTTGGGATATGCCAGTTTCTTTGCTGGAATGGCTGTCCTTTCTGGACCACCGATAGCAGGTAACAACTAAGTCATATTCTTAAGCAAACTTCAATGAAGAAAATAGGAATCTAAGATCAATGGCAACAGAATCAGGTTTAAATGCCGTTTGACTTCCCTCTACCCTGATCACCAATACAGGAAAATCTGAGAGTTAATTCTGTAGATGTGCTATTTTACTTTACTGGAAATAATCAGTGTGACCTAAATGATATTGTCTGCTTGCTGGTTTAATTAAAACATTGACTACTTGCACACACACACAAAAAAAATTAACCCTAGGGCCAGGATTAAATGTTAGATTGTCACAGACCAAAGGGTCAATATATTTGATCTTATTGATTGCCAAGTATTTGCAGTGTCCACAAAAAGGAACTTACCTTAAAATTTACTTTGCTATTTTTAAATGGTTTGTTTTGTTTTTGAGACAAGGTTTCATTTGCCCAAGTGGACCTCAAACTCCCCATGAACCCAAGGAACCTTAAGGATTTTGTGATCTTCCCGTTCCCACCTGTGATTACAAGTGTGGAATCAATTACTTGGGGTATGCAGTGGTAGGGATGGAATCGAATTCAGGGCATCCATGCTAGACAAATAATCTGCCAACTGGGCCATCCCTCACTTTTGCTACTTTCAGACCATAACTGAAACAGTAATTCTGTTCTATCATTAAAAAAAAAACCACTTATATTAAGTTTGTACTTTATTTTTTATGTTTATTTACTTTTCAGGCAGGGTCTCATGCAGCCCAGGCTGACTTTAAACTCACTACCTAGAGGATGCTGGCTTTGAAGTCTTAATCCTCCCTCCTGCCTTCATCTCCCAAGTGCAGGAACTACAGGCATGTGCCACCATTCTCAGCTTCTATTATTTTTTTAATGAAAAAGAACAGACTACAACAGAGTAAATTAGAAAACAGAATCACTTTATTGTGAAACTTTTATTTCATGAGCACACCTAATGCATTATAAAATATTTGTTTTTCATCAGTCAGAAAAAAATGTTTATAGCCTTTTCTTACTCAAAGTCTAGAATACTTAGAACTATATGTAAAGATAAACATAGAGTTCCTGAAAGATACCTGTATCCACTAGTCCTAGGAAACGGGCAGCAGAATGTTCTAACAAGTTACGGGTGGTAATCAGGCTATTGCTAAAAGCTCACATAGATTTTATCTCAAAGTTGCTCTTGGTATCTCAAGATTATAAGACACTAAACTAAGAATGTCCCATTGCTAATGATGTTATGTGGCTAAACACCTTGTTAAAAGGAGAAGTTTCATGGAAGCAAGTCTTGTTTCTTTAAGTCATTCCTCTATGAAATGATAAAGATGACTTTATCATAAAATGGACTTTATAAAGACCATTAGATCTCTTCCCAAGTTCTGACTTTAGTAGCAACCAAAAAACAAAAAACCACACACTACAATGATTGTTTTCAAAGTAACTCAGTTCTCTGGAATGGAGAGGTAGCTCAGTGATAGACTACTTGCCTAACATGTGTGAGGCCTTAGGGTCAATTACTAGTACTTGAAATCCAGATCAGTACCTGACTACTAAGAGGTGTGGGAAATGACATGACTGTGTTCACCGTTAACTCTAAACCTTTACTGGTAATCTTCAGAGCTGTAGAAGTCTCATTTTTACTTACCCACATCTAATATCAAATGAAAAGCTGAAATTCCTATAAAAGAGTATATATATATGCATGTTTAAGTAGGAATCTGGCAAACAGTGAATCCTCAGACAAAATGTTTGTTTTAAATTGGTAACAGTGAATACATAAACAATAAACTTCTCCTTCCTGTATGGGAATGAAAAAGAAAAAAACATTAGTTCTATACAACATTTTAATAATTCTAGCAAAGATAAAAACATAGAAAGCTTATAGAACCCATGTAACTTTTTTTTAAAAATACACAATTTAAAAAAAAATCTATAAATAGAACACATGGGAAACAAAATTATTTATATACCTTTATCATCATGAATATGAAAAATGTAACAGCAACACAATTCCTTAACATAGGACAAAAATTAAGGCCAAAAAGCCAAAAACATATCCTCCTGAACTCCTCCACAGAACACTACTCCTGCCCACTACAGCCAGATTCCTTCTATCCTTTTCCAGTAACTAGTAACAAATCCAACTTTATTTAAGAATATGGCCCGAATCACACTCAGTTCCCTGGCTGAGGGTGGTTAGCAAACTCTAGATGACAAGGCACACCCAAACCTGTCAGTGTCTTGCTGATAGAGAGCCTCCAGGATTCCACCTTAGCACCAAGATTGCAGCTTGTGGGAAAACACAGTATTTGAAACTTTGTTATATTTCTAGCAGACCCTTGTTAAAAAACAAATGATACAATATTACAGATAACAACTTAAGCTGAAAAGTATAATCATATTCTCAAACATAACTCAGACATTAACCATATTACCTAAGATTCCTAATCGTGACTACAAAACATTCGACATGAGCTCGAAATTAAAATTTAAAATTAGAAGGCTTGATTAACTACCTACAAAATAATAAAACCGAATATCATCCTCCCTTCTCCCACTATTCCCCACTCCCAATAAACAAATACATTATGCACATACATATAAATACTTAAATCAAGCACAAATATCTTAAAAACTCTCCTAAACTTTTAAATTAGTGTGACGATTTCTTATATTCATGCAGTAACCACTAAGCAACTTTAGTTTGCTGAAACTCAGTACATAAGACTCTTCACTCTCTCAAGACCCTCTAAGGAAACTTTTAAATATTTATTAATCTTTTTGATTTTCTAAGACAGGATCTCTCTGTATAGTACAGGCTGCTTAGAACTTGCAATATGGTACAGAGTGACCTTGAACTCCAGATTCTCCTAGCTTTCAAGTGCAGAGATTAAAGGCAAGTATACCATGCCCTGCTTGAAAAAGTTCTAATCCTGTCCCCTCTCAGGTATTTCAACCTTGTAAATTAGAAATAACAGGGTAACTGGTTATCTTTTCTAGCTCCGTGTATTATAGGAAAAGAAAATGGATAAAATATAAAATCAATCCATCCAAGGAAGTCTCTGCCTCTCTAACAAATAAGCTATGTCATGAACGGACAGGTTAATCCCTACTTCCAGTCTATCATCAAGTACAATACTGAACAAAACTTCTATCCTTGCTCCACCATTTACCAAATTAACCTTTAAAGTTTCTTCATGCCTATTAACAGAGAAGTTCTCTGTGGCTTAAGAATTTATTTGAAGAAAACAAAATAGCTCAATCTTTTGGTCTGTTATAGATCCGTGAAGACTGGGGTGAGTGGAAGACAAGTGAGAAAACAGCAAAGTTCCCTGTCTGTATAAATAAACAGGAATATATTAACATTAAGAAAATAAGTAAACTGTTCATTATTAGGTGGTTAATTTATGTCAAAACCAACCCCACACCCAGCTTTACTCTGACTCAGAATATCTATGAAAACATCAGTAATAAATTCCAAATAGCTCTATTGTGGTTTAAGAGGAGAAAATTATCATTCTGCCCTTGCAAAGACTGGGTGTCCAGATGCTAATCCTCTAATAAAACAGAGCACAGAGAGCCAATGCTTAAGTATCCTGATAAATCTTCTGGCAAATTTCTATCCTGGGGCCTTTAGTGAGTTCCAACCTTACAAGGCTTGAATTTGCTAACCCATGTTTCCCAAGATTTATTCATATCATGACACATATAGAACACATAAATATTTTACAACACAACCAAAGTAAGAGTAAAACTGCAGTACCCAACCAGTGTCCTTGAGAAGCAAAAGGATCAGGGCCTGTCCAGGCAAGGTGGCACATACCTTTAATTCCAGTACTTGAAAGGCAGAAGCAGACAGATCTTTGTAAGTCTGAGGCTATCCTGGTCTACACAGCCTACAAGTCTAGGCCATCCAGGGCTACCTGGTGAGATCCACATCTCAACATAAAGAAATGAAATAAAATAAAATCAGTATGTCCATACACCTTTGAAGTTTGTCACTATACCTCCTACCCAACAGAGAAAAGTTCAGTCTCAGAATTCTCAACCTCACAGTTGAAGGACCATCAAGGAACTCTGGGATCAAGGGCTTCCAGGGTCTACTTCAAATCCTAACACGATGATGATAAGTGGAAACGTAGCAGCCAGCCTAACAGATGTTTTTTTTCTTTCTTTTTGAGCACTCACTGTGTGAGTTTGTGTGTGTTCATGCACATGCCATAATGTATGTGTGGAGGACAGAAGACAACCTGTGGGGGTCAGTTCTCTTCTTCCATCATGAGTTCCAGAGATGGAATTCAGGCCATGGGGATTTGTAGCAAGAACCATTTTATTATCTGTTAAGCCATCTAGCAGCCCCTAGCAGGTATTTTGTTGTTTTTTGAGACAGGGTTTCTGGCTATCCTGGAACTTGCTTTGTAGACCAGGCTGGCTTCTAACTCTTAATATAATTCCTAACTCAGTTCGACAATCAAATTCTGAAAGACATAGTAATGAATACCTCTTAGAACAATATATTCCCTTTTTCATAATTCATAAAACCACATACAAAGTGTGTTAGTTAAACATCTTTAAATTCAAAACAATAAATATTTGAGGGTAGTGACATGATGTCACAATGGTAAAATTTCCTACCATAAGTTCATGTACAAAAATAGTAAAAGTATTATATAACATTATCTTCAGGGGGGATGGAGAGATAGCTTAGCAGTTAAGGCCAAGGTTCAGTTCCCAGCATCTACATGGCAGCTCACAACCATCCATAACTCACTTCCATGGGATCCAATGTCCTCTAAGGCACCAAGCACATATATGGTGCATAAACATACATACATGAATGCAGGTAAAATACATATATATAAAATGAGTAAATTTTAAAAATTATCTTCAGGCTATGTATATAAAGTATACACGAAACAAGTGAGTTTTCTGTTTAGACTTGGGTCCCAAGCCTAAGATAGCTTATTATACATATGTTAAAATACTTCTGATATTAGGTATCCTGGATAAGATCAATCCTGATTAGTCACAATAAACAAGCTTACATTTAAGTGGCTTTTAGGTGAGTTAAAAATTCAAGCTTGATAGGTCTTAAAACATCTACTTGGAGTAGTGAACCTTTGTCCCATCATTAAAAATTAAGGGTTATATATTTGGCTCTGGATTTCAACTAGAATTTTAAAGATACTGGTATCTCAATTACCAAGTATAAATAGAACATCATCCAGCTTGAAATATGCCAAATGATCCCCTTCTCAATTATAAATATATTTTAATACCTTAATGTTTCAGACATAACATTCTCTTTAAAAGGTGTGTGAAATGCAAAAAGTTATAAACAACTCTCTTGAACCCATTTTCACCTTTGCTCTCCTGGTAGTTACTAGCACTATTTACATTACTATCAAGAACTCCTAGCTTTTTCCTATAATGCTAACATTTGGTACCCATTCAGAAATTCACAGTAAACACACACACACACACACACACACACACACACACACACACACACACACACACACATATATGCATAAGAGGAGGGGTTGCTGTTCCATTTTCCCTCCTTTCTAGAAAACTCCATAGCTCAGGTTAGTCACCTATTTTTTTAGAAAGTCAGAGGTCAGTCACATCCATAGAATACAAAGACTCATCCAAGCTGACCTCACTCCACTCCCTCAACTTACCCCCAAGAAACATTTAAATGAGAGAATCAAGTAAGGAATCAATAAACTCCTTAAAGTTAGCTGAATTTAAAAGGCTATAAAATACTCCATTTATACATTACATTAAAAATAGGAAATTCAAATTATCAAAACAAAAGGGACTGGGAGTGTAGCTCAGCAGTAGAGCACATACTTAGCATGTATGTACATGAAGCTTTGGGTTCAATCCCCAGAACCAAATAACAAAAACCCCAAACCCCGTCAGAGCTAAAATAAGAGAATGAAGAAAAGGCAATAAACAATTAACCAAATGAGTCGGGGGCAGGCAGAACAGCCAACACACATAAGCACTAAGTATTCCTACCTCTCTCTCCATCAGTTTATCATCTCTTAACCCAGAACCACACAGGCATATAACACAAAGATCGTGACTGGAAAGATGGCTCAGCAGTTAAGAGGCCAGCTCTTCCAAAGGTCTTGAGTTCAATTCCCAGCAACCACATGGTGGGCTCACAACCATCTGTAAAGAGATCTGGTGCCCTTATGAGGAAGAGTCCTCATGAAACCCAATATGGACAAGTTCAAAAGAACCACCATATATGGACTGCACATGCATGCTTCAGCATTGCCAGGACATAAATTTCATTCATTCATTCATCCTGGAAGTCACTCTGTAGAGCAGGCTGGCCTAGAACTCAAAAAGATCTACCTAGCTCTACCTTCTGAGTGCTGGGATTAAAGGAGTGTGCCACCACCATTACATTACAGACTTTTATATGGACATTTAAATGTTCACTTCTTGCTATTATTTTTAAGATGTTTTACTTAAGTTCTAGTATGTGCCATTGATGAGAAGACTGCAAGGCTTTTTCCATTCTTAAAGAGCATTCAGTTAGGAATGCAGCTCAATGGCCTACCATGCATCAGGACCTTGATCCAATGTCTACACATGTGTGTGCTCTCACATGGACTATTTAGATTTTAGAAAAATTCCTTCAGCACATTTATCAAAAAGTTCCTTCTCATGTGATATCATAACCCCCAAGCCTTCCCTTCATAGAAGTTACCAGATACATAGTTAAAATGGTTAATACCTATTTTCCCACTAAACTGTAAACTTTTATTAGTGCAGGGACCATGTTTATTTGGCTCAGTACTGTTCTTGATGCATAGCCTGTTTTCAGGAACATGGTAAATACTCAAATATTAGCTCAGTAAAGGAAAGTTCTGATTACTTTCTTGTTAGAAAACAATAGTCTTCTTGTAAGAGTATCATAAAATGAAGTGCTAATTTTCTCCAATCTCCACCCTAAGACATGTTTCTGAGTCCACAATGACTTTTTTAATGATGCAAGTTTCTACTTAGATGAAAGTGATAAAGTTTCAACTAAGACAAGCGAGAAGCTGTATTAAATCCAGTGGCTCACAATACAGACTGGGAAGATGAGGCCTCTTTCTTCAAAGTCTAAGAGTTGCTTGAGAATTACAAACAGAAAAGTTCACTTCATTAACAGAAACCACTCCTTCCTTACAGGCTGGATATATGACTCTACACAGACATACACAGGCTCTTTCTACTTCTCCGGCACCTGCTATCTCCTCTCTTCAGTCTCCCTTTTCTTTGTACCACTGGCTGAACAATGGAAAAGCCAACAAACAGCCTGACCTTCGAAGGACTACAATCAAGTGAGAGCTTAACGAAAGAAAATCCAAACAAGCCACTGGAAACAAAAGCGTAGAACAAATCTTTGTAAAAATGAGAAAGTAAGCTCATTTTTTTTAAGATTCCTTCTTGCTTTATTAGCACTGCTAGAAATGTCCAATTGTTGGAACTTAATCAAACAGGCTAAAAACTGAATCAGTTGAAGCAGCTATCTGACCTATTAAATGAAAATCAGAATGTACCTATAATAAATACAAACTTTCATTTGTGCTATGGTAATTCTGTCACCAAAATGTGACAAAGGTAAACTATTTTTTTTAATATAGTAATTGGTTGACTAGAGCTCTAGAATCCGAATAAAGCCTTTCATAGTGACAATAATGGTATATCCCCTCCAAAAATAATGTATTGTTGTTTATTGATTAGAAGTAATCTTAAATTATTTTGTCTCTTAACTTCCTAGTGAAATAAAATTTGATAAAATAATCTTGATTTGAAAATCATTTGAAAGGTATTACTGCCCATCTAAACAGTATTATCTTTTCACTACATTTAATTATCTAAAATATTTATATAAAGCATCTAGATGATTCTTCAGAGCTGTAAGTTCCATATGGAAGTTGAAAAGGAGGCTTTAAGAGGAACTATGTTTGTTCAAAAGGTGTGGGTCATTTATAGCTAATTAGTAATGAATGGTTCTTGCTTGTGAATAATGAGCTCTTGGCTGTTTGGGTGATCTTTAAAGGATAAAAAGGAGTTTTCTAAGCAGGGAATGGTGGCATATACCAGAAGTCCCAGCAGTCAGAAAACTAAAGTGAGAACAATTGAGTTTGGAGTCCAGTGTGGGCTACGCATTATAAACTGTGTCCAAAATAAAAACCATTTTCTGCAATACAAATCCCTTAACATCTTTCAGAATGTTCCAACTATTATTATTCCACCCTTCACTCTTCTCTGCTTTCAAACATCTACTGATTCCTTAATAAAGAAAAACCCTAAACTGAAGTTTAAATTTGGTTCCACACCTTGATACTTTTCAAATTAGCCTTTGTGCAAACTTTGCCATCGGCTATAATTCCAGAAGTTTGCCTTCTCTGACCAGGTTTACTCATACCACTTACTTACAATCTGGCTCACTCAATACTCAGATGGAACAACTTTCCCAGCTTGTGGAATTTCCCCTAACTTCTTTTACAGCGCTAGAGACTGAGCCCTTGGCAGCACAGGCAAGCACACCACCACTAAGATCCATCTCCAGCTCTGTCTAGCTTTAAACTGAGGACTCTATGAGCTCACATTTCAATTTTCTCTAGTTTGTAATATCAACAAGATGTTTCCAAGGCCTGTTATAAACTTTGTAACCAAATAAATCTGAAATCTCAGCTATCTCAAAGACAGTAAGTTGCTCTTATTTAAAAGGTAGGTTTTAAATAAGACCTATTTAAATAAGACACCTATTTATTTTAAAAAGGGTCAGGCTGGCCCTAAATCTACAATCCTGCTTTAACTCCCTAGAATTACAAGTTTGTATTACCATAACCAGCTACAGGGTTTTACACTTAAATATAAAACATAAATAAAAATAAGAATATCAGGCCAGAGAGACGGCTCAGCAGTTAAGAGCATTTGCTGATCTTCCAAGCAGTCCAGGTTCCAATATCTATAACACATAGTGGCTTATATACAGTCTCTAGCTCCAAATACAGGGGATGCTACACCCTTTTTTGGCCTCCCTGGGCACCAGGAACACACAAGGTACATAGACACATGTATTCAAAACACCCATACACATAAAAGTCTTTAAAAACATGACTCCCTCACACAAACAGCAAACTAATAAATCTAAGCTCTTTCATTTGCTGCCAAATGACCTCCTAAGTTGCTCAAGAACTGAAACCCAACTTTCTCCTCTATAAAATGAGGATATCACCACCTACCTACTTCATAGATCACTGTGAAGATTAAATGAAAATATACTTTCTGAGCAAAATATCCTTCATAAACAGCAACTAAATTTTATGCTTTTCTTCTGTCTTCTAAGTCAAAAGGATAAAACTAATAGGAACTGCTCTAAATTTCCCTTTCCATTTTGAGGAGCAATTATTTTCAAAAGATTTCAACAACCTAGACCTTTCCTATCAAAGCAAACTGTAAGATTAAATAAAGAATTCCAAATTAACTTAACTTAGAAGGAATTTATCAATCTTATACAACAAGTTCTCCATCCTACTAAGCAATAAGGCCCTCAAAATACGAATTGAGAAAGGCTGAATCTCATTCAAGGAACTTGCACACACCTGGACTCTCAGAACCCAAAAAATAGAGGCAGGGAGCAGGAGGGTCACAAGTTAAAGGTCATACTGTTTAATGTTTCAAAGTACAAAGAAAGAAAAAAAGGCAAGTTTAAATCTCCAGAATTAGAAAGCTAAAGACTTCTACAACTAATATGTAGATTGTACAAACAATACCCTTCTACTATATTTCTACTTCTTCACTGTACTATCGTTTTAATTGACAATATGATGTCACATAACTACTTTCCAGAAACCTGTAACACAGGATGATCAGGCCCAATACATATGCCCTTTAAGAAAAGCACAACATTCACTATTTCCCCTTTTCCTCAAGAGATCCCTATGAGGCACATACACACACAAAATTAGATAGCACGTATGGGTACAGGAGAAACTCAGTATGTCGACATCTAATAACATAACTGTGTGTACTTTTTTCTAAATTTTCAGACAGGTTCTCATGAAATTGTCCACCTTGGTCTAAAATTCTCTATGTAGCCCATGCAGCCTTCATTTTTGCCTCAGCCTTCTGCGTAGCTGGAATTACAGACATGCACCAGTTTTCAACTAGCTGTGCACTTTTGTATAAAGTATCTAATTTCATATACTTAGGTATTTATATGGTCTTTTGTGACAGGGTCTCATACAACTCAGGCCAGCCTGAAGCAACTCTAGTAGCTGAGGATGACCCTGAACTTCTGAACCTGGGACTACAGGCATGTGCCACCATGCCTAGCCTCATCTTTTTTAGAGAGGTGGGCTGGGATGGGGGAAGAGGACAGGGTTTCTTTGTGCAGCCCTGACTGACCAGGAAATTACTCAAAAGACCAGGTTGACCTTGAACTCAGAGATCCACTTGCTGGGATTAAAGGCTGCACTACTGACCACCCAGCTGCCTAGCCTGATCTTAATCTTCACACAACCTTCAGAGGCTTTATCTGTAGTGCCCATTTTCCAAATGAGTATTTAAAAAAAAAAAAATCAAAGAAACACAATATTCAGTAAATAGTGAAGTCACAGCTCAAACAATCAACACAAAACCTCCCCATTTTTCCTTTATGTTTGTTACCTTTACTTCTTGGCAAGCACCAACAAATTATAAAGAGTAGCTTTATTGAAACAGCTATAAATTTGTTTTAGGTCAAAGTTGACCTAAAACTATACTAAGAATAAACCCACTCCCTAAAATTAAAACCACAACCATTAGATATTACCTGCTATAGTGTAACAACAATGCAGCTTCCAGAAGATGACAAGTGAATAAATGAACAGCTTTAATAATTTTCTAGTCTCCCAGTGGCAAATGCCCTTGAGCTACAGGCTAAATTCACTTTACCAAAATATTCAATTCAGGATGACTTACATTTAGCACTTGTGTTCTTAAAAACAACGAAAAATTACCATGCTGATGCCATCTTTCTGGCTTCCTTAGGCATCAGACATACATGTGGTAAACAGAAATACATGAAGTCAAAAAACAACAGCAAAAATAAACAAATACAAACACACAGAAAGTAAAAACAAAATAAAGCAGAAAGACAAACATACAGTAGTACCTGGAATTGCTATAATCTGACACTGTAGGCTCTTCCTGAGTTTCAGGACAGCCTAAGTACTACACAATAAGACTCCCATACATTGATCCTTTCTGGCAGAAGCTATTGTACTATGGAATGTTTCGGTACAAAACAAAGCAGTGACAACATTGCCCACAACCTCAGCATTCAGAAGGACGAGGCACGACCGTCAACAACTTGAGACTAGCTTAGTTTTTTTTTTTTTTTTCCTTTTCTTTTTCTTTTTTCTTTTTTGGTTTTTCGAGACAAGGTTTCTCTGTAGCTTTGGTGCCTGTCCTGGAACTAGCTCTTGTAGACCAGGCTGGCCTCGAATTCCCAGAGATCCGCCTGCCTCTGCCTCCCGAGTGCTGGGATTAAAGGCGTGCACCACCATCGCCCAGCTTGAGACTAGCCTAGATTTTATAGCAAGACCTTGTCTAAAACATAAAAACACCCAAAAGCTCTATTACAAACCTCTAAACTTTAGTGAGAACTTTTTAGGGATGTAGAGACTGAACTTGGATTAGAGTGATTGTCTGGGCTGGTCAGAAGAGGGTTTCTTAGACTTTTAAAGATTTTATTTTTATGTCTATGAGTGTTCTGCCTACATGTATGTCTGTTGACCAAATGTACACAGTGCCCATGGAGGCCAGAAGTGGGCCACAGATCCCTTAGGACTAGAGTTACAAATGGTTGAGCTGCCATGTGGGTGCTGAGAATGGAACCTGGATCCTCCGGAAGAATAGCAAATGCTCTTAACCACTGAGCCATCTCTCCAGCCTGATGAGCTCCTGAATTTATTTTATATCTAGGACAATCTGACTATTCTTAAGCAAAAGATGTGTCTGAATGTTTGACAACAAGGAGTATGCCAAACTTTCTAGCCATCTTCCCACTCTTGCTTCCCCCTAAAAAAAAAAAGAAATAAAAATCACAAATTCAATTCTGTACCTTATACAAGCTCCAGCTAGCATAACAGAAACTAATGAAAGTCATATAATACTTTTAACAACAACCCAATTTCAGAACATGTTTAATAAGTTTACTTTTCACACTGACAAACTTCCAACTTCTTTTTTCCAGACAGGATCTGGTCTCAATCTCACAATCCTCTAACCTCTTCCTCCAAATGTTGGGATTAGCCATGTGCCTCCATACTCAACCAACTTTTACAGCACACTGCTTTTACAAGTGACAGATCTAGATGTAAATAAAGCCAAGATGTACTTCTCTTTGGTCTGTACAACTAACACTTATGTTCTTTTAGTGGGGAAAAGATCACTTTCTTCGTTTATTAGTATGTAATAATATACCCTTTTATTTTTAAAAGTGAGAGCTTAGAATGTCTTTCTTTCCATCTCAAAGCTAGTCAGATTTTAAGGTTATTTAAATGTACCAACCTGTAAATTGTAGAGTTTGCATTATCAAGTAAACCAACTTCATGTCTAAATTCTACTGCTGTCTAGTAAAGCCCTCTGAAGCCATGGCAATAGGATGACTCACCAATTGGCAGGTGTCTCAAGATCTACAGATAGATCCCAGCCTAGATAACACATGCATATGCCCCAAGACAGACACTCATCCTTTAGCTAAAAGAGAAAAGAGGCTAAGAACTGGTCAGTAGAACAGAACTTGTTTTACAGTGGAAAAAAGAACTGGAACTCTACAAAGAAACATAATCCATGCAGACTTCTATGATGCCCCATACATGTTTTCTACATGCCACTCTTAACTTACCAGAAAAGTCCAACAGAGTAGGATTAAAAAAAAAAAATCAATATGGTGACCCCCTTGAGTAAAAAGTAAACTGACAGTGATAATTCTACTGAGTTCATTCCTTTAAGAAAGGTGAAGTCAGAGTCACCAGAAAAATAAATCCATATTTAAACCCTCATTATGTTTAATGACTTGATGTCAGTTTCCTTCCAAGTAAAAATTAGTAGTTCCTATTTGAGAATACTTTACCACTCACTCCACTGTGGAAACTGATACCAGGCCATAGCTGGTAAGATAGGGGTTTATAATATGGAATTAAAAGAAACTTACCCTTTCCCTCTGTGCAGCTCTGACTTCCAACCCAGTTTCTATAGAAACAGGAAGACAATGCCAGTACCAGAGTCTGGCAATTAGAACTCATCTTTTAGTTGCTGAGCAATAAAGTCATATCCAAAAGTCAGCTATAGGTTTTGTCAGTAGTTCCTAAAAAGAAACCCAGGAAGAAAAAAAAAAGATGTTTAACCAGTTACTGTACTTAAAAGGCTACCTTTAAACTTGGCAATTAAAAAAGGGGAGGAATCTAATACTGTTTTTTAAAAAAGTTTATATATGTATGCACTTCAGTCATCCCAAAAGGAAAGCAAACAAACCAAGGGTGTCGTAAAACAACCAACAACAAAATCCCTCATCTACTTAATTCTCCACTAAAAACCAATCTCTGAAAATAAATCATATATAATATCATAAATGTATCTATATCAAAAGCAGATTCTTAAAACTTTTGTGTGTCTGTACATGATGTTGGGGCTCAAACCCAGTGCCTCCCACATGCTAGGCAAGCATCTGCCAAATTTTAATGTACCCATGAGTTACCTGCAGATCTCCACCCCATCAACAGGTCTGAGGTGAAGCGCTACAATTCTACATTTCTAACAATCTTCCAAGAGATACTAATGTAATGCTAGTGGGCTGTGACCAAACTCTGGGCAGCAGGGATCATAGAAGTTAAGCAATATACATATTGTATTGTACTGAACAACAATTATACTGATTTTTGTTTTCTTAAAAGGTCTGTATTTCTTTTTTTTTTTGGTTTTATGAGACAGGGTTTCTCTGTAGCTTTGGAGCCTGTCCTGGAACTAGCTCTTGTAGACCAAGCTGGCCTCAAATTCAGAGATCTGCTTGCCTCTGCCTCCAGAGTGCTGGCATTAAAGGTGTGCGCCACCACCACCCAGCTTAAGATCTGTATTTTTTGAGTATGTATAAACTTAAGCCTCTAGAGCAGTGGCTCTCAATACTGGCAGGACAGCAGAATCACCTGCACATTTATAACAAAAGAAAAACAATTTCTGAGGCTTTGCAAAGACATTCTATCTACCCCAATTCTAATCAACCTGAGGAAGAACCTTAACTTTGGGAATTAAAATTCCCAAAGTTCCTGAAGGGTTCTTACATATAATCAGGGCTGAGATACTTTAGTAAGCAGAAACAAACTCAATTAAGGAGTAGTTTACTGGTATGTTTCTATAAACAAAGATATGAGGGCCTATCCCAGCACCTGGGAGGTAGAGACACGAAGTGACAAGTTCCAAGTCACCCTTGGCTATATGGAGAATTCTAGGCCAGCCTGGGCTACAAGGGACTTTGTCTAAAAACAAAAAATTTTACACTAAGCTATAAGATACACATCTTGGGAGACAAGTAAACTATTAATATTCGGCTTCTACATACTAAAATGCAATTACATGGGATACTGATTTTTCAATATGCATTAAAATATGTAATAACAATACATAGCACCTCATCGTAAATTTTATAAGAGTTCTACTTTTAACATAGGTGTACTAACAGGTTCATCTATAAAAAGAAATCATTGAGTCCTCTTCTGGGGTAAAAAGAAAATTCACCAGTTACCTAAGAAATCATACAATAGATTTATACAATTAAAATCTGCTTTGCATAGATGACAGGCATTTAATGGAAAGATTTTTTAAGGCTTTTTTTTTTCTTTTTAAAGATAGTCTCATTACACATTCCTGGAAGGCCTGGAACTTGCTATGTAGACCAGGCTGGTGTCAAAAATAGAGATGAGATCCACCTGCCTCTGCCTGTGGAGTGCAAGGACAGAAGGCGTGTGCTAACATGTCCAACTACACCCTTTAAATTTCAGAATGAATTTAGCTTGATACCACTAAAAAATTACTAATTTTGAAATACAGATAGTGTATCTCAGAAACTATATATGAATACAATGAATTTTTCATGATAGTTTAATGAAACAGAGACTATCAAGCAGCAAATGATGTACTAGGAAGACCATTCTGAAAGCACAGGGTGGTCAACAGCTAGAAGCCATAAAAAAAAAAATAAACCTGAAAAATAAAATATCAAAGAAATAACACTTGTAAGCCGGGCGGTGGTGGCGCACGCCTTTAATCCCAGCACTCGGGAGGCAGAGGAAGGTGGATCTCTGTGAGTTCGAGACCAGCCTGGTCTACAAGAGCTACTTCCAGGACAGGCTCCAAAACCACAGAGAAACCCTGTCTCGAAAAACCGGAAAAAAAAAAAAAAGAAATAACACTTGTAGAACTATAAAGAAAACTAAGTGAAACTCAATGGTATACCACATACTTGAGCATGCAAGAAACCTCGGTTCAATCACCACAAAATAAAATTTAAAACACTCTAAAGAGGACTATCAAGATGGCTCGGTGGGTAAAAGGCACCTGCTATGAAAGTCTGGTCTGGAAACTTGAATTCAGTCATAAGATTTCACATGAAAATATACTAAAAAAAAAAGAAAAAGAAAAAACAATTCCACAAAGCTGTCCTCTCACCCACACATGAATGCCTACATATACATACCATACACACAACACATTTTTATGTAATGGATTTCTGTGTTTATGTCTTCTGTGCACCATGTGCATGCCTTGTGACCAAGCCCAGAAGAGGGCAGCAGATCCTCTGGAACTGGAGCTGCCTTGTGGGTACTGGGAATGGAAGCTATGTCCTCTGGATCAACCAGTGCTCTTAACTACTGAGCTTTCTCTTCAGTCCCAATTTAGAAGCAAAAATAATTAACAACCAAAACACCAGTAAACAAACCCAAAAAGAATATAATCATAATCTCTATAGGTAATCTGAAATGCTAATTTCTGTGCATGCACAGGCACACAAACTAAAATGCTTTCACTTTTTAGACTTCAGTCACAGTCTTTTCAGATCAATATCTGACCAAGGATACCTCAATAAGTTTCTTGTTATGTTTCACTTAACCCAATCCTTGTTGATAAGGCAAAATTAAATACTAAGGAAGGGCTACCTTGAAGAAATAAGAGATTAACTGCTACTTAATGACAAATGTTTCATTTTGAAACAGGGTCTTGCTATGTAATATTGAAGACTGGCCTTGAACTCTATCCTGCCTCCCAAGCACTGAGATTAGAGGCGTGTGCCATAGTATCCAGCATGTAGGTACTTAGTTTTGTCCTGTTAACTCCAACAATTTTGAGCTTATCTTCTAGACTCTTCTCAACTCTGAAACAGAAGTTTTTGATCTATTTTATACTTCTTTCCAAATACTATATTTTTTCCTCATTCCTCAAACATGACCCTTGGTTTATACCTCAGCATTCTATGCTCTCAGTACAGTGTTATTCAACACACAGCCCACTGATCGGAGAACACAGGAGAATTATCTGAAGAACTTGTAAAGGAACAAAATTCCAGACTATGCTGGTCCAAACAAATCTCAAAGTAGATAGAATGGAGGAGCAAAGAACCTATTTTATAGACATAGCACTATCATTTGCAATTAACTGCCTACACAATTTCTCAAGATAGGATTTACAGCTTCAATCCTATCTATGGCCTCCGTGGGCAGGGTGGGGAGGGGTGGGGAGAGTAGTGATGATCTTGAGAACACGAGCCAGGACAAAGGCCTGGTTAGTATCCCTGGGTCCATATATCAGATTAGATAGAATGTAGAAAACTTAAACAAGGCAATGTATATACAGCACTCTGCAGAATGCTTAGCATGAAGTACTTGTATTTAGTAAGTAGTTGCTGTCAATAAGCTGCAACTGATGATCCATCTCCACTCCTGCCACCTCAAATTTGTTTGCTCTTCAGAATTTCCTATTTCATTTGACCCAATCATCATACTTCTTTTCCAGGAGTTAGTCTGTTTTGTCTTTTCCACTCAACAAGCTACTATATTCTTTTTCTAAAGATTTATTTATTTATTACATATACAGTGTTCTGCTTGAATGTATGGTTGCAGGCCAGAAGAGGGCACCAGATCTCATTACAGATGGTTGTGAGCCACCATGTGGTTGCTGGGAATTGAACTCAGGACCTCTGGAAGAGCAGTCAGTGCTCTTAACCTCTGAGCATGAGTCATCTCTCCAGCCCTTTTTTTTTTAAGCTACTATATTCTTATTCATGTGTGACTGCCTCGATCATTCCACATCCTCTTTTCTTTTTTAGTTAAGCCTTTCCTACCCATCCCAGCTTCAGAAACTTATTCATATTCTTATATCCATTATCACCCACAAAAAAATTAAAAAAAAAATCCTTAGCAATTGATCTGTTACATCTTTCCTATTATCTTAAACACTACTAAACTTTCCCCTGGTGGCTGACATCTCTTTATACCTAGTTCCTTAGTGAATAAACTGTTACTTTATTCACTATCTGATACTTTCTTAATTGTCTACCCTCAGACTCTTGGTTCCAAGTATATAGTCAATATTCACACTTTTGAAAACTTCAACTGGAAGATGAATACTACAATCACTAGAGTTGAAGAATACCAAGTCCTTTAAGCTAAAAACTTTTTTTTCCCTTTGCTGTCAAGCTGAACTTGTCTGAGGTTGAAGTAATTTGCCATTCAATAAGTCCCTGTTAAGAATTTAAAACCAGGGGGCTGTTAAGAGAAGAGCACCTCTTCCAGAGGACCAGATTTCAATTCCCAGCCCCCGCATGGCAGCTCTCCAGTTCAGGGGATCTGGCATCCTCACACAGACACACATGCAAGCAAAAACGCCAATGCACATAAAATAAAAATTTAAAAAAAAAGAATTTAAACTAGATCCAAGTTATTAATAAGATGCTGTGAAGCCAGATGTAGTGTCGTGTGCCTGTACTGTTAGCACTTAGAGAAGCAGAGGCAGGAAGACCTTGAGTTTAAACCAGTCTGGGCTTCATAAGCAAGAAGACTGTCTCAAAAAAGCCTAAGTAAACAACAAGCTTGTAACCAACTGAAGTTATGAAAATTTCAATTTATAAAATCTAGGTTGTTTTGCTTATGGCAATGCTTGTTTTGAATACCTATTTTCAATTTTAACCATCAAGGCTAAGTTTTTAAAAATGAACTCAAATTAATTCAGAGGTGTCCTAGAACAAAATGCTACATCTAGATTATTCTAAAGATACTGGAAAACCATACAAATAAATTCAAAGAGCACTTATACATTTTAAAATCAGAACATTCCATCAATTAACTTTCAGTGAAGATAAGAATAATTTCATGAATACCATAGTTTCAACAGTGTTATACTGTGCGCCTTCCCATTTTGCATATGGTTTTATATAATACATTAAAACATGCTGACCTGAAACTTTTCCCTCATTCTTGAGATGGAAGTCTGAGATTACAAAAAGCTAATCATGTAGAAATGCATAAGCAACGCAACAGTCTTCCTAAATATCCAGTTATTTATAACATTTGACTACTAATTGATAGACTATTTAAAAGACTAGAAAGAGAGAAAATATAATGAAAACTGGACTCTCCAACAGGTATGAACAGTTAAGATATGCAATGAGAGCTCAATTACCAAAGCCTAAAGTAAATCACCTCAAAAAGCACATTTGGGCTAAAAACACTTGTAAAAAACACACCAACAACCTGAAAAGGCCCAGTTTTCTCATTTTTGTCCTTTTCACGCTTATCAATGTTTCTATCAGATATTTAAGCTGTGTTGCTAAACCATCTATGGATCCCAAATAAACCTACGGGGGGAAAGTAAGCCAGTACAGACTAGCTACTATAATTAGCAGATTCCCTAAGTCTTATGAAAGAAGTTATGAACAATTCTATTCAAAATTTCTGATCCCATCTAAAGCAAGTAATAAACAAAGTGAGCTGTTCTTGCCCACATTTGATTAATGTGCACGGAGGACCCTCAGGCTACTAGAAAAACAGTGAAAATGGTTTGGGCTAAGTCAGACTTCACTGCCTGTTCATTTCCCTCAAGCTGCACTTGCTTCAATTTCATAATTTCTTTGAGGGACAAGGGAAAAAAAATACAAAACCATTTTGGAGAAAATACCTGTAATTCCCAATAAAAAAAATCCTTGAGTGTTTTGATAGCTGTAAGTCCTCTTGCACCATTAATCAAAATAAAAGGTAAACTCCAAGGTTAATAGCATACGTCAAAACTTTGAGACACAAAAGCTCAAGTCCATAATCAACATGTTAACAGTTTATCTCCCATGTTAAAATATTTCAGATGATTTTTTAAAAATATACTCAAAAATGAAATACAACATAATTATCAAGAACAAAGTTGCTGAATTTCATAAACACGTAAGTGCGGGGAAGACAGCTATCAGCAGCAGCAGTATCTAGAGACTTCCGAGCAGAGAAATATTACCAAAGCATTAAGTGCCCTCACCCTAGGAATTATCATTTTGACCTCTAAAAAACCCTCTTACCTGTTTACAAGTTTATACGGCTGTTTACCACTGGAACACCACCTTGCAGAGTATAACCGTGGCATCCTTGGTTGATAATCACCTGTTGCCTAGCAATCATCATCCCGCATGGAGACAAGACAGCACTAGGGCTCTTCCATCCGAGGTTAAAATTCAAAACAAGCCCAAACAAGCCTGCATGTCAAGGTGGTCTTCGTCTGCAACTAGTTAAGTTTACAACTGGCAAACAACCATGGTGTCTGAAGCCAAAGGTGCAGAATTGCTGGCTTCCTCTTGAACTCCAGCGTTGTCACTGTGCACTGAAGTATTCTGCTGCAAACAGGGAAGTTTTTTCTCCTGTACTGGAAACAGGCTTCCAAAACTCAAGAGCCCCTGTACAGGACAATGCAGGAACTAAAGGCAAATACTTTCTCCTCCTTAAGGATGCCTCCATTTTTTTCCTCACAATCTGTACTACCAACCGGAGTGACTGGGCCTGAGTGTGCGTTCGTACCTATGAAACCGTCACGATGCATGCACATCCAAGGCATGTGGAACCACAGGTCAAATAAGGCACAGATACCAAGTAACGGTTCTAATTACAAACGCTAGCTCTCAGGAACTCTTCATCCATTCAGAACTAAACCCATCACTGCATAACTCTGGTAAGAAGCCCCTGGAGATGGAGGAGCTCCTCAAATGTGTCAGGAAAGGCTTTATTAACACCATCATTAACATTTAAAAAGCAACCGGAGCATTTCTCCTTCTTTTGGCAATTTGGTGCAAATGTTAAAAGTGCAAGAGAATGCAATTTCAAACTTTTCTTCAAATTAAAAAATGAAACTAAAGCCAAACGTGATGGGTGAACAAAATAAATCAAAACTTAAATTTCAGGAACTCCGGCTCTTCAAACCAGCAAAGCCCCCGACTCGTGCACTTTGGTGAGGCTTAGAGTGCTTGCCCCGGCTTCTTGCACGCCAGCAAACAGCAACCTCATCGTGTTGAGGACCGAGAAGCAAAGGATCCCCTTCACTGCAAACAAAGGGGGTCACTGTAACACTATGATCCTTCAGAATTGACACACCGTGATAGTCAAAATGAAATTGATGGTCTCCCTGCTTCTTGCTCAAGACATACAAGATCTGAGCAGCAGCAAGTACCCGCTCCGCTGCAAACAAAGAGGTCAAGGTTTGCCGTCAATTCACTTCCAGGCAGAAAAACATTTTCCTCAAAAGAAACAATTTATTTAGAATAAAACAAAAGCAGCTCAACTGTGAGCCCATGTTTGAGTGACAGCTACTTTTAAGCTGTGTGAGCCATAAAAAGGGTTTTTCTTTACTTTTCCAGAAATCTTGTGTACACAGCACAAAGCAAAGAGGTCATTTTTTCCACTTAAAACACCGGCATTGGCATCACAATAGCAGATACACAATGTTAAGCTGCCATTTTAGTAAAATGCACAAAATACTAAACAGATTAGCTTTCTTCCATCAGAGGCCCATGTAAACTCCACATAAGCCACAACTTCTCTTCAAAAAGGTCCATTAGAGCTTTGAATTCCGTATCTTCATCCGCTGTTCACCAGTTTTGCTTGCGGGAGGGGGAAAAAAAGGTTATTCAGTACAAACGTTTACAGTATTAAAAATATATATATTTCCCCTATGCCATTATAGATGAACGTAGTATTAACAAGACCTTCCTGGATAGTCCACTTTAACTTCAAAAAGCACCAATAATATCCACTGGCACAAACCTTGAAATGAATTTACTATATGAATACACAAATAACAAGTAGAACAATAGAATTTGATTTGTACTCTTTTAAGACTGTCATCAAGGATTTTAGAACTGGAAATATCCTTTATCCTCAAATAACTGACTAAGCACATGGCCACATGTTCAGGAAAAAGCAAATTTATGACCAACTCATAATTAACCAACATCTGCTCTAAATGTAACTTAAAAAGTGTAACAATAGACAGACTTTCTACCCCTCTATGTCTATTTTGTAACTTATATGGAGATAGACTACTCCATGACTGCAGAAGGGGTTGAAGCTACAGAGCCATTGACAAACCACCTTTATCTCTGCCACCAAGGGCAGTAGTGTTAAGAATGCACACACACAGTTTACTAAACTGTCAGAGAACACTTCAGGACTCATACTTTTCAATTATGTTCAAATTATACACAGAAGAACTCATCAACACCTGAAATCATTTCCCACCATAAGAATATCACTCTAGCAGGGCTTACTCTGGCTTTTGTTCTCATACCTTACTCCTATTTCAAAACAGACTCTGTGGCAAACACAGGGGGAAAAAAATGCAGAAATTGCCTCCATTTTTCCCCACATAAGTCAATTAAGGCCCTCTTTCATAAAAGATCTCATAACTCTGTTACTACAGAAGTTTTGGTAAATGGTTCTTATATGGATACAAACTACAGTTCAAGTTGTACTGCAAAATGAGCAATTTTACTAGAAAAAAAAGCTACCTTAATTAAAAAAAGAAAGAAAGAAAAAGTAGTCAGTGAACATAGTTTTAAATAAATCTGGAAATCTGACTCTGAAAAACAACTCTTACTGCTTTGCATCAAATGATCTAGGTGAGTCAGTCACAAAGAGCGACTCTAACCTTCAAAATAATAACAAAAGCTTATGTAAGCCAGAGGATGTACATTTTAAGAGGTTAATTCTAAAAAGAAACTCATCTTCAGTTTGGTGGTGTACAAAGTACACATTAAAAATTTAGGTTACTGTATGAAAAATTCTTTACAGGAGGAATCCCTATTACAACCAGCAAAAAAATACCCCACAATTAAGTAGAACCATTTGCTAGAAGCTGAGTGATTGCTTAAGTTTCCATACACTTTGAAGCTGTGATCATTAAGTCTTATCTTATTTTTACCAGTATATTTAATACATAAATAGCATACTTAAGAAATTTTCTTTCTATTCATTTTAGTACTTTCTGGAAAGAAAAAAAAAGTTAAAGTACTAAAGTTATTAAAGAAAAAAAAAAAGGGCTGTTAAAAGAAGCATTCAGAGAGGCCAGAAGAGGGTACTGGACCCCTTGGGACTAGGTGCTGGGAACCAAACCTGGGTCCTCTGGAAGAGCAGCCAGCATGTGGTATAGACATGCATGCAGGCAAAACAGCCATATGCATAAAATATTTTAAAAAATTTAAAAGAATATCCAATATGGGATTCTGACCCAGCTAATGAGATCTAGAAACAGTTTTAGACTGCTTTCAATCAAAGGTTTAAGTGGCCAATTGACAGATATTATGAATCTGCACAGGAGTGGGCAACACAAATAAGATGATGGCACTTTGTAGGTAAGCACCCAACTAATTTACATAATACATGTATTTGGAAATGGCAGCAAGCCACTGTTTCAAAAACACTGAAGCACTACTTGATTAGATCTAACAAAATGTAGCAGTGTCAGATAAGGGTTCAAACATGGAGCAAAAATCAATATTCTTCAATATGCTATTAACCAACAATGTTCCTAAAAAAGGAAAATCATCACAACACATTTGATTAATAGTAAAATTAGATGTCACAGACTTCACTCTCTAACAGCAAAATCATTTGCCCAACTATCTAACAACAACAACAACAACAAAATACTAAAAGGTGAATGGCTAGTGAAATTACTTAAACTGGAAAAATCTACCTAACGAAAAACTATACTTAAACTCCATGTGCACAGACTACACTTTCATCAGCTTCTGAGTAGACATCTATATCACACCACTACTGGTTTTGGAAACAAAAGACAATAAAAGTCTTAGTTGTAGATTTCAGGTATATTTCCTACAGGCACACCAAGGTCCTTTGTGCTCATAAGCCTAGTACATTCTTTTTCTCAAAAGCCTCCAAATTAAAATAAAAATTATAAATATATAGTGAAAAATGAAAGTATGATGTAGTAGGTAATGGGGCTACCAGATTGACATGAATTACACACCCATCACAATGAAAAATAAAAATTATATAACATTTCTCTGGGTTATTATTGATGCTATTTCAAATCTACCAGCTTTGATAACAAAAAGAAAACATTTTGGGCTCTGCAAGGCTTTGAGAAGGTCACAAAATAGAAAAAAAAAAAAGACCATGATTCAAAAACACAAGTTCCTAATCATAACTAAATACTGGACCCTACCTGAAGTCCTCAGTACTTAAACTGAGAAATAAAATCATATTTAATAATGGTCTTAGATATCACAAGTAGCGGCAAGAGGAGCACATAAAACAAACAAAAAATACTATTGTAAATTAACCGAAGCCCTTATTAAGAACCAGATGTCATATTATCCTCAGCTTTTTATTTTGGGTGAGAGGATTTGTGGGGGAAAGGGAGTTTTGTGCAAGTAAGTTAAATTATTTTAATTACAGGTACCGGGAAAATAAAAGATTTTCTAACGCTGACACTTCAAACCTCTACAGTTAGACAGCAGTCAAAATATTAAACATTAAATTTCAAAGATATTCAAAACACTGTCAATAATGCAATGCCGCTACTCCTGTTTAAATATGAATATAAAAATTTAAGGAATTTTCTTCAAATATATCAAGGGCATTTTACAATAACCTTTTTTTAAAAAGTGTAATTTAGATGTCTGATTAATGTCCATAAAGGGAAATAAAAAGAATTACATATAAGCCTGCAGACAAATCTATTACTGAAATTTCTTAAATGGATACAAAAAAAAACCTTCATTTTTTATTTAAGTATACACAATTAGATTTGCTACACCTCTCAAAGGCAACAAAAAACACCACTGTGCACCTAACTTACCAAAAAAATTCTCATTTTAAAAGCACTTACTCATTTCTTGCATACCATCTTAAGATGTAAATGGTTTGTAACACAAGTCTCAATTTTTACCAGTTACTGTTACAAACACAGGATACAAAACTCAAAAACTAATGATATAAATGTTAAAGCAAACTTTCTGGGAATAAACTATTTAAAGAAAAATACTCCAATACCTGATTAAAATAAATGAACTTTGCAATACCTGATCAATGCTTCTAGTATAGGAATTATCTACATACCAAACTATTTTTTCAGTACAGAGGCTCTTTTCTCCAAATTATGATTCTAAAAATTGTGGGTTTTATCATTTTGAGGATTTTTTTTAAACTCAAGACTGAGGAAGAAAAAAAAAATCTGAAAAACAAAAATAATTCCTAATTAAAGCAAATCCATCTTCTTTCTACCTTCAGGGCATCCCTTTCACTCAAAATAATAGCTAAACTGCCCCAATATCTATTTTAAGGAGGTTTACAAAAATATAGATATAAAAAAAAACAACTAAACTAATTGAAAGAAATTTATCTGATGCTGTATCCCATTACATATCACAAAACAAGGAACCACGTCAAAGTAGTAAATACAAGTTACACATGGACTTTAGGACGCACCACGGACAATGATCATGACCAGGTAATCTTCTTCAGATTTGGCCAGTGCCTTGGCAGGGGAATCCAGGAACTGCTGAGAGAACTCACAAGGTGGGAAGGCATGAAGAACCCCCGTGTTTTCCTTGTCTTTGTTGCCTCCCACAGGGAGGCTGATCACCCCAGCTGCCTGCTTTTGCTTTAAATAGGACACAAGGTTCCTAAGTGGCCTCTGAGTAGAGGTGGCAGTGTCTGACGTGGCTGAGGAAGAGGAGGAGCGGCTGTCAGAACTTCCAGGTACAGCCAGAAGTATGGCATAACCATTCGGCCCTGCCACTTTGATGCGACGAGTTACTTCATCCAACTTGGGCTGGTCCAAACGGAGACGCTGAGTGATCTTGAGCTGGGCTACTTTGCCTCCAGTTGAACCCTCCACAAGCAGACTGCTAGCAACTTGGAGGTCACCCTGCAATAGATGCATGTTGGAAGGGAAGTTGCTGTTCTTCAGTAGAAGCATGCCTTGCCAAGCCAAACAGAGTTTGGGAGAGGATGCTGCCACAGGAGCTGTCCCTCCATCCTGTTTCTGGGAAGGAGGTTTCTGCTTTGATGAAGAAGTGCTGGTACTGGGTGCATTACCATCAGACCGTTCTTCTTTTTTCAGAGGGTTTTTTCCCTCTGTGGGTGCAGCTGTCCGGTGCTTTCTATCCCTTTCAGCTGATGCAGAGTTTTTACGGTCTCGCTTCTCACTTTGGCTCTTCTCCAAACTGCCCCGTCTATCTCTGATTGGAGAAGGCCTTTCCAAAAGAAGAAGACGGGATGATCGATCATTGTCACTGTTGTAGCGATCTCTGTTACTGCTCAGTTCTGGACTTCGGTCAGGAGAAGGAGTGCAGTGACGTTTTCGTGGCCGGTCACTCTCAGGTGATCTATCCAGATGCCGTCCTCCACTTTCCTCGGGCAGCCTTCGCTTCCTCGGCTGGTCCCTGCTACTGGGTAAATCCCGATCACCTCTGTCCCGGTCCAATGACCAGCCATCCCTCCTTCGATCCAAGCTATCCAGGGGCTCATAAGCAGTCACAGCACTAGCTGCAGCACGAGCACTGCGTTCTCGAACTGGTGGTGGGGGTGGCACCCAATCAGAATCAGTATAAAGATCCCTATCACGATCTCTGTATAGTAAGGGTGGTGTCCTATCCCGAGCACTCCTCAAAGGGTCAGGTGCTCGATGTCCAAAAGTATCTGTCACTAGTTCATAATGAGTCAAGGGCAGAGGCTGAAGATACTGCTGCTGGTAACGGTGCTCTGTGTCTGCAAAGTCTACTCTAAGGCGACGATCTGGGCCACCAAGTGGGAATCCACGCATATGGGTCCAAGCAGCATGAGCTGCATCCAAGCTTTCATACTGTATATAGGCCCAACTATCACCTTTTCGGTAGTCTATGGTTCGTATGGTGCCAAATCGATCAAATTCTCGTGCCAGGGCAGCAAGAGGCACCCAAGGTCCCAGGCCACCCACCCAAAGTCGGGTAGTGGGTGTAGCTTTACCATAACCAATCTTGATTGGATTCCGAATTATAATTTTGCCAGACATTGCTAGTTTAGCCCTGTGAGACATGTCTAGATTCTCAAATTTAAGAAAACCATAGGTACTGGTCTGGCCCCGAGAAGGCCTCTTAATGTCCACTTCTGTGATGACTCCGAAACGATCAAAAGCCCTTCTTAGATCATTTTCTGTCACAGTGATGTCTAAGTTGCCCAGGAAAAGTGTCCGGTTGGCACGCTGATCGTCCTCGGGTGAGATCTCATCCACTTCTCGGAAAGGAGCGGCCCCCGCTCCAGCTCCCACCCTGGGCTCCAGACTGTACGCTGGGCGCACTCGGTCATAGAATGGGTAGTCTCGTTCTCTTTCCAGCTCTCGGGGCAATGGGGGTGGGGGTGGAGGGGGCAGGCGGCCTAGAGCCAACTGCTGCAACCGGTAGTCTCTGTATCCCAGCGCGGCCCCGCCAGGGGAAAGTGACCTCTGACCGCCGCCTCCTCCAGGGGCGTGCCGGTGGCTCCCCACGGAGCTTCCCACCACGCTGGACGACGGCGGGTAGGGATCTTTGTCTAACGGGGAGCGGCTGCGGCGCCGGCTCACGTACACGGCTTCTATCTTCAGAGGCCGGTCGTAGAGCACCAGGCGGCCTCGGGCATGCTTGGCCGCCCTCGCGTCCTCGGCCCTCCGGAAGTTCACAAAGGCCACCCGCTCATCCCCGCTGCCAGAACCCGAGAGGTGGCTGATCTTGACACTTACATCACCGAAGCGCTTGAACTCGTGGAACAGACCGTCCTCCACCGCCTCGTCGCTCAGCTGCGACCCCAGCTCGCTGATCTTCAGCGTCTTGTACTCCACGCCGTCCCCGCCGCCGGGCGCGGAGGAGGCGGCCCCGGAGGAACGTGACTCCCCGCCTCCACCCCGGGAGCTGCTGCGCGACTCGCCCCCGCCGGAGGAATTTTTGGTGCTGGGGGAGCTGTAACTGTGCAAGCGGCTGCTGGAGCTGCCCCCGCCGGTGTCATACTCGCGGCTGCCGCCTCGGCTGCTGGACTTGTCCAGGTGGAGGCTCCGCCGCGACCCGCCGCCGTCCGCCTTCCCGCTGCTGCTCCCATTGCTGCCGCCAGAGCCCCCTAACTTCTTGCTCCGTTCTCCGCGAGAACTGGAGTCCTCGCCGCCGCGGGAGCGCTTGGGCTTGACCGGCGAGCGCTCCTTCCCTTTCATGGTGGAGGGTCGCCGGAGGTCGTCTCTGCGGAGCTGACTAACCCGCCACCCCGCGCTCGTTTCACACAGCGGACTCGCACGCCGCCATCTTGGACTCCGCCGCGGCAAAGGCTCCCGCCCCGCAGACCTCATTGGTCCTTTAACTCACTCGTCAGCCTTCTCATTGGAAAAACTATTTGTCCGTCTTTACATCTCCCCGCGCTCCGGGAAGGCGCCCGCCTCGACGCTGTTATTGGGTTCCCAACGCCCGAGTCGGAGTACCTCATTGGTTATATTCGTTGTCTATCTTAACGGTTCCTCGCGCCAGGCCGTGGCTCCGCCCCTCGCACTTCATGGTCACCTGACCCAAAGCCTGGAGGCGTTGATTGGACCGAAAGTCTGCCCTGTAACGGTACTTCTAGCACGGCGAACGCAGCGAGCCCACCTTCTCTTCCCTCTCATTGGCTTGCGACCACGTCCTTTAAGCCACTACACGGGAAGTCTGGACATCAGTCCTGGCGTTTTGGGTTTTTTTTTGTTGTTGTTTTTTTTTTTTCCCCTGAGAACTTGGCTCTCCCCGATCTCGCGAGAGACAAAAGAGCTCCCTCGCTCCTTCTCTCGCTCTCTGGCGACCCCAGTCTTCCAACTTCTCCGGCGGCTGAAGGAAGTTTAAATCTGATTGGCTGTTGGCGAGGGCCCCGATAGGGTAGAAGCGCTGTCCATCACTTACTTAAAGGAGCCGGCCCGTGAACTGCGGCGTCTGAAGGTGAAAGCCCAGAACACGCGCTTGCTGTGCGACGTCACTGGGCTGTCGCGAGATGGTGACAGGGCGTCAGGCCCGCCTCCCCGCGCTTTCGGCGTTCTCTTGAACACTGCTTAGGGTCCCACGGCGGACTCGGCTGTGCTTCGATCGGTCCTTCGAGTCTGGAACTTGCGGGCTCCGCTCGGTCCTGTCCGGGCGGGCCAATGGGCTCGGCGGCCCCTCCGGTTGCTGGCCCTCGATCCCATTAGGCGGCGGTCCCGGGAAGTCCAGCCGACACCATCTTAGTCAGCAGCCTGAAAAAGCCCCACCCCCGTGCGCGAGCAAGCGCCTGCCCGGGTCTGTGCAGCTGGCTGGGGCGGTGAGTTCAGGGTTCACTGAGCCTCGGGTCACGCTGACGCCCTGGGCGGTGCCGAGTCACTGCCCGCCCGCGGACTTAGGAAACGGCTCGGCGGAGACCTGGCCGCTCTCTTGGGGCCGCCCGAGGGCTCGCGGTGACCTGTGCTCACAGCAGCCAGGTCTAATGGAGACCTGCAGGGCGGGCCACTGCGGACCTTCCCTGGCGCCTGTTTGAGGTTGTGAAGCCTTATATGGTTTGCATTTACAAAAGAGACCTGGAACGTAATGTAGCTGTGCTTAGCTTTAATATGTAATGCTTCTTATGGGGGGGGGGCAGCCATAATAAGCTAAATATGGACAGGTCACCTAAAGGAAGTTCTTTGCCAGGGTAGAACTTGGCCATTAATAAGTTTAATAAGAGGCGGGGGTCTCAGTAGTTTACCCTGAGGCCG